GTGGGTGGTATGAGTGAGGAGACTACATTGCTATCGTCTGCAAAGCAATAAAGTGGATTTACTGTTTTATCTATGAGGTCATTTATGTAAATCAGGAAAAGAGTTGGCGAAAGGATTGCTCCCTGTGGCACACCAGCATTTATTTGGTAAGAGTTGGAGTTCTGGCCATCCAGTGCAACATAAATAGATCTGTCCTTTAGGTAACTTTCAAACCAAGTGCAAAGTTTCGGCGATAATCCCATTGCTTTGAGCTTGTTGAGCAGATTTTCATGCCAAACTTTGTCGAATGCTTTAGATATATCTAAGGCAATTGTTCTTGTTTCACCCCGCAACTCAATCGCTTTTTGCCATAAGTGAGTGACGTATGTAAGTAAATCGCCAGTTGACCTATATTTTCGAAATCCGTATTGCTTATCGTTGATAATTTTGTACTTTTCCAAGTACTTGGTTAGGTGATTGTTCACAACTCTTTCCATTACTTTTGATATCACCGGAAGTAGAGCAATTGGTCTATAGTTTAACGGATCTGTCTTTTTTCCTTTCTTTGGAATGGGTTGTACTGCGGCAGACTTCCATGATGATGGATATACTCCTTGCCTGTAAGACAAATTGAATAATTTTGCGAAAGTTGGGGTGAGTTCGTTGGCGCAATTTTTGAGTACTATTGCGGGAATGCCATCCGGACCCATTGCTTTGTTTGTATCCAGCTTTTTTAGGGATTTTCGTATTTCTCTGTGACAAAAGTGTACCTCTGGCATACTATGGGAAACCCTTTCAATGAACGGTGGAGTTTTTCCGTTTGGCACTGTTAGGTTGGAGTTGGAGGAAAACATTTGGGCAAGCATATTGGCTTTTTCCTCTGATGTTGTGGCTAAGTGATTATTTTTATCTGTAAGTGGTGGTATGGATGACTTGGTGAAGTTAGATCCAACAGCTTTTGCAAGAGACCAAAAAGACCTAGAACTACTTGGACAATTCAGCAACCTGTTTTTTATTCTTTGATTGTATGTTTCTTTAGCGGAGTCAATAGTAATTTTGCAACTATTTCTGGCTTCTATAAATTCTGTGTGGTTTTGAGCGGTTTGTTGTCGTTTCCAAAGGTTATATGCTCTGTGTTTTTTCTGTACAGCCGTTTGACACTGGCTGTTGAACCAAGGTTTTGCATTAGCTCTACGTTTAGTTGTATGTGGGATATATGCGTCCATTCCAGATAAGATTACTTGTGTTATTTCATTACAGCAAATAGTGGGATCAGCTGTTTTAAAGCAAACCTCTTGCCATGGAAAATCCAGGTAATACTGTTTTAGGTCATTCCATTTTGCCGATTTATAGTGCCACATTTTACGAGGAAGTGGTTGTAGGCTTGGTGGGATGAGCATTTCGCACTTTGTTATTATAAGTTTATGATCGGACGAACCAAGTGGAGCATCTACTTGAATTGTGTACGAGTCAGGATTGGTGGTTAGGAACAAGTCTAAAAGCGCTGCAAATTCGCCCCTTTCTGAGATACGGGTAGGTTCATCGACAAGCTGCGTTAGACCACAACTTATGGCAAAAGCTTCTGCTTCTCTGCCTTCGTTATCTGTTTTGTTGTGGTGTTTCAGCCAGGGTATATTGTGGACGTTGAAATCGCCTAAAAAGACAATTTCCGCCTGTGGATAGTTTGACTGTATACTATCACAGCTTTCGGATAATGTCGTGAAAAAGTTTTGGTAATCGGTGTTACTTGGCGGTCGGTAGAGGCAGCAGATAAACTTGGTCGATGACTTTGAGGTGAATTTTAGCCATATGATATCAAGGTTCGCTGGTTCTAGCTTCTCCTCTCGATGACATGAAAGGTCATTTTTAATGTACACACAGATCCCAAAATTATGTCGAAATCGGTGGTGTAGGTCATAGCCGGGATAAAGATAGTTCACAATAGGTGTTGCAGAACTGATTTTAGTTTCAGTGAGAACAAGGATGTCAGGTCCTTGTTCTTCAAGATGTTGGTGAACTGAATTCATATTTGTACTTATTCCTCTTATATTGCTAAAATCAATTCTGAGTTGAGTTTTTGATCTTCTCTTTATATCTTTGCATGAAGGACCCCCAGGATCACCCGACGCCCGGAGATCCGAGTGGTCGGGTATTTTACCTCCGGAATATTTTGATCCTGGAGGCGCCATCATGCTATCTGTTACTCATTGTTGGAACCGGACTGCCAGCGCAGTAGCGGAACGTGGTGATACCACTTAGCGCTACTCAATTCTGGCATGGTGGTATCTCACCGGTCGACGCCCAATGAGTAAAAAGCGTCTACCACCTACTAAGTTATTAAGTTTATTGTAATAAAGTTTCAGCGTGATTAAAATCAAAAGTTTTCTAGTAAAATTCACACAAAGTCATGTTCATCAAAAATAAATCTTGTCACTATAGAGTACTTACATTTTGCCTATAAAACACACGTAAAATTACTTAATTAATTACTCAAAATATTTAGCTAGCACGCACATAAATGTTGACGAATTTAAATGTTCTTTCATTCAAAACTTTCCGCTATTGTTACAAAGACTGTTACCGAGGCCGTAAAAGAAACTTTAAAAAAAAATCTTTATTCAGTTTGGACAGGTCTGCGAACTCTTCTCTCTGTTAACTAGAACTCAACGGACAACAGGCAACTGTCTCACCGGCAACTGAAATGCGGTATTTATATAAAATCAACCCTCCCAAATCTCTTTGTCCATGACAATTAAGATGATGCAATTTCCTTGGAATTTTATATCATTTTTAGCCTGAAATCAATTAATTATGTCGCAATCATCTGATTTATTGAGGTCAAAACGTTTGGGTTCAAGAATGCCATAATTCATTCGACTTAATTTTTGGTACGCCGAAAGGCCTTGGCTAACAAAAGTTCATTGATCGGGTTTTAGAGATGTCATCACCTTGTCCTCGTTTTTATTATTTTTAAGAATTTAATTTAGATGACTGGATGCAATACGTTAGCGTTAATTTGTTTTATTTTTAATTTATCGATACAGATCTAAAAATACCTGAATTGAATTTTGATTATTTGATAAAATTTAATTTTTACAATAAAGACTTTGTAATTATAGGGTCAATTTTCTAGATCATCACAATTTTATGGATTTGTCTGTGAGTCTGTAGTGTTATCTGGGAGTCTATAATATCAACATTGAAATCTGATATAAACTTATGATACCTATCTATCTTGTAATGACTCAGAAAATAGACCCGTAAATTACAATATGTCTTTACTGAAAATATTAAATATAATCAAATAATCAAAAACTGAATTTCCGGTATTTCAAATCAGTATCGATAAATTGAAAATGGAACTGAACTAGTGTGACTCCAAATACATTCGAAATTATATTATTTCGTCCAGCGTGATGTCATCTCCTAAATCATATATCAATGAACTTTTTTTAAGCGAGGCCATCGTACCTAATTAAATCGATGACTTATGGCTCACGTGTTCTATCGGCTTTCTTTGTGTCGTTGTTCTCACATTCTTGAACCAATGTATTGGCCCATATAAATCAGGAAATTGCGATATAATTATTCGATTTTAAACCTATAAAAATGACAAAAATTTCAAGAAGATTGCATCATCTTAATTGTTATGGACAAAGAAATTTTGGGGGGATCGAATAATATGAATACCGCGGTTTCAGTTGAGATCATCAGATGAGTTCGCAGACCAGTCCAGTTTGAGTTAAAGTCTACAGTACCTAATGTGTCAGTCCGAGAAAAATTCGCTTGTTTCGCCTCGGTAACAGTCTTTGCAATAGTAACGGAAAATTTTGAAAGAAAGAAAAATTAAATTCGTTCAAAAATTACCTATGTGCGTGCTCTAGAGATTTTGGAGTAATTAATTAAGTATTTTATCGAGTGACAATTAAAATGTAAGTATATAGTAACAAGATTTATTTTGACTATAAATGATGAACATGATTTTGTGTGATTAAACTTTGAACTTAATGCCTAAAAACTTGAGTGATTATGACTAATAAAACTTTTTGACTTTATAAATGATGAATGACTATCTTTGAAACTTTATTGCATAAATATAATTGCCTTCGAGTGTAATGACATTTTAATTCAATTTTGCAAAGAAAATATGAAGGGAATTTATAACCCACTTAACAAGTATCGATTTGAGTAGGGATTATTAAAGAATTTTGAATTGGATTGTCCAATTGAAGTTTAAGGGCTATAGTATCGAACTAATAAGAATAAAATAAATAAATAAATAATTGAATGTTGGCTAGGATTCCGAAAATAGGAATTGTTCTAATTAAATTGATAAAAAATTTTGGTTTGAAAAATATTGTTCATGTTGTAACATTGATGATAAAGTGCTGATATTTTGAATTAGGGTTTTTATTTTTTCATGTAGAAATTATTAAGGTTTTTAAGAATAAGTTAGTAAAACCTAAATTAATAAACAAACAACTATTTTGATTTTTGCATAAGCAGACAGTAAAAGGACTTAGGAATTTTAAAAAATTTATAGAGATAGGTGAAGGGTAGTTTAATAGGAATGAATCGGAAGTGTTGAAATGAATAAACTTATAAGTTATTAGGAATAGGGCGTTTCTTTATTTGTATGGATATTTCCCGGTCCGTAATAATGACATTTGAACGGATGTGAAGTAATTGAATTTAGAAAAACATATGAGGCTGTCAGAATTGAAGAATATTTTGCTGATTTAAAAATTTTTGGTTTTATGCATAATAAAATATAAATTAGTAAATCTTAATAGTTTGTTTCTCTCTTTTGCGAATAGACCCTTCCACAATTTTATAGGTAGCAGCTCCAAGGAAATAAACACCATCAATTTACCGCTCGCCATTTACCATGTAACCAATTACATAGAGTACTTAGAGCGTTTTGCTACAATCTCGATGATGGAACTTTAACTGGAAACCTTTGTAGCGTATTCGAAGAAGATGAATATTGGCTTGAAAAGAAACTCTTAATAAGTGGAATAATTTTTATTTATTTATTTTTAAAATCTTTTAATTTGGAACAACGTTTTTTTTTTTACAATTTTTTCAACTTTTTTTTTCATAATTTAATATTATAATAATAACGCGCTACGATTTTTAACAGTAGAAAACTAGTAATCCTATGTTACAAAAAATGTATTCCATTTTAAAATAATCGATGAGCAGCTTAAATAACAACATGACACAATACAGTGTGTCTCACTTTTCATGAATACATCCCGATATCTCAGTTAATAATATTGCGATTTAATTCAAATTTTGGAGGTAATTGTATGTTAGAAAAATGAAGTAGTAAATATTTTCATTTATCATTGGTATGCGGTTTTGGGGGGTAAAAAGGGGTTGTTTTTTTGGAAAAAAAATATTAGGGCTTATTTTAGAAAAAAATTTCAGCATCAGCATCCTCAATGGTAAATAAAAATGTTCACTATGTCAAATAATTTATTTTTCTAACATACAATTACCTCCAAAAATTTGGATTAAATCGCAAAATTATTAACTAAGATATCAAGGTGTATTGATAAAAAATGGGACACACTGTATATGCAGAAAAATTTCTACAACCTTTAAAAGTTAATAAGATTTCACTTTTTTTTTTTGACTAAAAAGACTTTTATTGCCACTTAATAATGTAGTAAAAATCACGATTTCTAAAGCTTATACTCTATAGGAATTGTGCCTCAGAAGAAGTTAATAATAGTGCTTATATACTCCTTACAAAGACACCAAATCTAATTTACAAAGCTAAAAGATTAAAATCTATTGGCGTAATAACATTGTACAACTTATCTATTTACATCTACTTTTTTTGATTGATTTTTCTTATACATTTTTTGATTCGTTTTATAGTGGTAAAAATAGACAAAATTGATTGGTTAATAATTAGGTAAAATTAACACTCTATTGTAATAATCAGAGTTGATTGTTTTCTTGGTTACTACTGTTTGCAATTAGCAATTATGTAATTTAAAACCAAGATTAGGTAGTTATATGTAGTTGAAAACTTACATTAAAATATTTAAAATTTTATTTCTAAAACGCTTACTTTTTGGTGTTGTAGCCAAATCTTTATTCGGATTTAAATTGCATGCTCGATTTGAATCCGAATGGGTCAAATATCAGCTAGAATATTATTAGCAAAGTTTTAAAAGATTCTATACCTAATTTAATTGACATTAATTGCCTACAACTTTTGAATTGGATGCTTTTTTGATACAAGTAGGTACATACTGTAATTAGATTAAAAGAATTGGGTCAGAGTTTCTTTTAACGGAAATCAATAAAGTATAAAGGTACATAAGAAATGGTTTTGGTTATAAAAACTCGAAAGCAATTTGAAATTCAAATTAATTATCATTATCACATTATACCCAGTAAACACAACTACATGAAGTTGAGGTAAAAATTTACGTATCCATACAACTTATATGGATTCGGAAAAAACCAAGGAAAAATAAATTTCTCAATTTTACAAGAATATAATACAGTATCCGCCAAAATAAACAGTACTGAACATAAAAATTATATTATTTATTAATTTGTATCATGTGTAAGTTATATTAACCAATTGCCATGCTGATTTATAATCAATTATCTATTAGTCCAAGAGCCCAGAGCCGCCAGATACAACTTATTTTCTAAAGGACAGAATATATGGGATTGAGTAGCACTTATAGGTACTATGAACGTATGTATATTCGCTAAGTTGGGTAGACGGCCAATTGACTGTTATTTGTAAATAACGGTTTTTCCTATTATGGAAAAAACCTAATCCCATTTCTCATTTCTACTCTAGCCTGGAATAGACTGTAAGTTTAAGAGGCGGAAATCAGTTGACATAGATATCTCGCTCACTCTCAAACGCATGCATAGTACCCTCACGCTTACACTCCCGGAAAAATTATTTTGCGTCTAGGGGGATGTTTGGCCCGCAGTGGCGGACCTAGGACCTAGGATAAAAACATTTTGGGGCCCTATCATGTTTTTTTTTGAGTATTTTTCTTGTGGTGCTAGAGACAATAGCTGACGTCACACACATAACCTCATTTTTGATAGGGGGACAAACAAAGCGTTTGTTTGTCTCATGGCCGTTTTCATCAACTATTTTAGGGAAGCCTTAACGATAAGTATTCCTCAAACTGATATTTCTCCATGGAAAACTTAGGAAAACTGTCATTTTAAGGAATACTACTTAAGGCTTCTCTTAAATATGTAGTTGGCGAAAACGGCCGTCAAGTTTGTTTGAGAGAGGTAGGTTGTCTGATAACTTCATGACGTCATCCGGGATGCCTGAACATAATGCAAATCTCCATAGGGTACCCCAGATGCCTCATCAAGTTACCCATTACCAGGCAACCTATCAACTTTAGGAACCTTGGTTAATGATATGTCTGTCCCCCGAAAAGTGATTTGTAACGTAATAGCTATCGCCTAACCGATGTGTGTAATAGTCCTTAAACGCTTTGTTTGTCCCTCTTTCGGAGGTGAGGTTATGTGTGTGACGTCAGCTAGTGCCTAATTGAAAAACAACTTTATTAAAAGTCAGGCAAATATAAAGAACATCTCACACTTCTTATGGATTTCAGTCACCGACAGATTTTGTTGAAAGTTTAGTATATTATTTTGGAAGTCGAAATAAGCATTTTCTTTCATTGCACCGACCTCGCAGCGATACAGGGTGATACTAAAAAATTAGGTCAAAGATTTTCAATTTTTATTACTGTGAAATATTGTAATTTAACTTTGGTAGATAAAATCAGGCAATTTTTTTCATAAAATGGATATTATTTTAATTTTTAGCATGTACAGGGTGTCCCATTTTGATTGTACAGAGTACAGAAAAAAAAGTTAAATACAAAAGTTGTAGGGTTTTATCTCTATTGTCTTTCGCACATGTCAAAATGGGCAAATGGCAGGTGCCAACTGTCATAATGACAAACACTTGCATTTTTTAAATGGAACAACTTGTTTCGAAATTGTATTAAGCAACCCTCACCCTCAGGTTAATGTAAATGCATTTTTAAACTTAAAAAGCTTAAAAACAGCTGAACCAAATGTCAACATATATGGTATATTTGGAATCGGAGGAAAAAAATCTATCATTCTACCTAAAAATATACAGGGTGTTCCATTTAAAAAATGCAAGTGTTTGTCATTATGTCATTATGACATTAGCAAAAGATATAATAGAGATAAAACCTTACAACTTTAGTGTTTAACTTCTTTTCCTAATTTTTTCTTTTTTTTTTGTTTAAGTTGTAGAAGCTGCACTTATTATAAGGAACAGACCCTGTACAGGGTGAGTCACCATATTTTGACACCCACATGCAGCCGTAATTAGAGGTGATAGGTAAAAGGTGTAAATACAAAAGTTGTAGCATTTTATCTGAACTGCCAGAATATTTAATTAGATTGAAGAAATGAGCAACACAAACTGAAAAACTATGTCGATATTCATTTTTTTCAAATGGAATGTCTTTTATTTTCTTTCAAATTCTTAAAGTTCTCTTTTTTCTGATTCAGAATATATACATATTTTAATTGTAATGTTTCTTTCAATAGTTTTGGAAAAATCTGGAGTTTAATAATTCAAGTTTAGAGTTTTTTGAACATATTTTACCTTGATTTACCTGTCACTTGTCACAAAACATTTTGATACCTGAATACGTCTTTGAATAACTAAACTCCAAATATTATTCCAAAACTATTGAAAGAAACATTAACATAGGTATTATGTATAATCTGAACCAGAAAAACGAAAACTTTAAGAATTTGAAAGAAAATAAAGTGCATTCCATTTGAAAAAAGTGAACATCGACATATTTTTTCACTTTGCGTTACTAATTTGTTCAATCTAATTGAAAATTCTGGCGGTTCAGATAAAATGCTACAATTTTTTTATCTACACCTTTTACCTATTACTTGTAATTACGGCTGCAGGTGGGTGTTAAATTATAGTAACTCACCCTGTACATAAGGGATATTTTGGTTGCCATTTGAGTTGGATATATGCGGTTTTCGCGAACGCTGGCTACTTTTTTGTTGAACGAAGGATGCCTGTACTAAGTACTGTGTTTGTTTACCAAACCTAACAGTGATATCACTCGTGGAATGCAAGCAAAAAAGAGGGATTTAAACTGAACAAAGGGAAGGTTTGAAAGACATAGTTGGTAGAGGATTGATTCTCGTGGTGTCGACTAGTAAGGATTATTGGCGTCTATTTCTTTTCCTTTTGAATTATTTATAATAATAAGTACTATTCTTTTAAAAACGTGATTATTGCCTATGCTTTGTGTCAGGTATTTGTGAGGCCTATGCCTTGTGTCAGGTCGTGTACCTATGCTTTGTGTCAGGTCGTGTACCTATGCTGTGTTTCCGGTATTTAACCACCTATGCTTCGTGTCAGGCTGGAATATATGCTTAGTAACATTTTGGAATAGTTAGTTGTGGGACAGGTCAACTATGATTAGGCTGAGTGGCAGATAATTGTGAATCTGCGCATAACCTGTATGTATGATTTTGGAATGCACGGTTCAAATGACGGGTGGCTCGTTAAAGACATATTGATGAGCAGTATCATCATATTATATTTGTGCGACTTAACAAGTTCATGCTGGAGACAATTGGTGCGCCGAGAAACTACAGGTAATAACTGTCATCGCCCTTATTGTTTTTCAGATACAAATTGTTTTTGAAAATGTTGCATTTTGGGACACCCCTTGTATCTCGGTTCTCTCATAACTGATTGAAAAGGTAATAACGGGTTTTTATAGATCTTCTCACGTAGATTCCAGTGGCGGAGTTAGTTTGGGAGGTGAAAGTTTTTAAATTATGAGCCAAATATAAGTTTTTTCACATAAGACACCCTACCTCATTGGCTAATTCTGCTTTTGCTGATTTCAATAATATAAAGTTTGATAGGTACCTACCTATATAGGTATATTTTCAACAGCTTTCGAGAATCTGTTTTTGTCATAGGAAACAATGTGTTACAAAGAGACCTTCCTCATTTTCCTTACAGATATAAAGTCATCTTCTAATACATTGTTTCTTATGACAAATTGACAAAAACAGACATAATAGAGATCTATCTACCTACCTATCGCACTTGATATCATTGGAATTAGCAGGAGCAGATCTATCCAATGAATTATTATTATACAGCATGTCTCATTTGGTGGAAAAAAAACGTATGCTTCGTTCATAATTCAAAAACTATCACTTCTAGAGAAAAGCTGTCTTCGCCTGGAATCTACGTAGAAAGATCTATAAGAACCCGTTGTCACCTTTTCGATTAGTTATGAGAAAACCGAGATACAAGGGGTGTCCCGAAATGCAACAAGATGGGACACCCTGTACAAGGTGGTGATATTCTCAGTTTTCTGATATTTTGCCAGAATTTCGAGATATTGGCCAAAGTTCGTTTTTCTAAAACAGAACACCCTATATTTTAATAACTCATTGGATAGCTCTGCTTTTGCTGATTTCAATTATGTAAAGTTCCATAGGTTGATCGCCAATAGTCTTCGAGAAAAAAACATCCGTTTTTGGGATAAGAAACAGTCTGTTATGCCCGTATTACATCTGTGTATTTTTCCGTGTATTTATTCATGTAGTTCAGGGTGCCAACAATATTTTATTTTTCATAATGCTGATTTATGTTGCGTTTGAAGTTTTTCGGTTGTCACTCTGAACTACATGAATAAATACACGGAAAATACACAGATGTAATACGGGCATTAGAAAGACACCTTTCTCATTTTCCTTACATCAGACTCCTTTTCTAACATAATGGTTCTTATGACAAACACAGATTTTAATTCCATTCTCAAAAATCATTAAACATCAAACTTTATAATATTGAAATCAGCTATCCACTGATTTATTAAAATATAGGGTGTTCTATTTTAAAATATCGGACTCTGGTCAACATCTCAAAATCCTAGCAAAATACCAAAAAAACTGAGAATGTTACTGGATTTTGCTTAAAAAAAAAGTCATTAAGAAAGTTTTTACGGAAATCAATTATTTTCATAAATCAAAAAGTTATGGAGCTTTTCCTATGAAAAGTGTCCAAATTGGACTACCCTGTACATGCTAGAAATTAAAATAAAATATCACTTTTATGGATATGTATTGTTTTTATTCAAAAAAATGCCTGATTCTAATAAGCAGAGTTAAATTACATATTTGAAAAAAAACTTTGACCTAATTTTTTACTATCATCCTGTATCGCTACAAGGTTGGTGCAATGAAAGAAAATGCTTATTTCGACTTCCAAAATAATATACTAAAATTTCAACAAAATCTGTCGGTGACCGAAATCCATAAGAAGTGTGAGATGTCCTTTGCCGAAGAAAAGAATGCGGACAAAAAATTGACAGGTGTGTCAACTCCTCATCTTTGACAGTACATCCATAAAGCGATTGGCTGCAAATGATTCAAATCCATTATCGCTACGTTTATAAAAACAAGTTTGACAACGTTCACGATACAACCCACCAATCACCATGTGTGTCCACCATTTTTCTGCTCTTCGCTCTTCAGACGTCGCCGGCAAAATTAAATTTGCTAGACTGTAAGAACATATGAGACAATATGAAAACAAGTTGAACGAAAAAAATTATTATTTGTAAAAATTCAAGAACTTTCCATGCAAACAAAAAGAAATATAACATGTAGTAGTCTCCACCCCCACTTACGAAAAGAAAACGAAATTATTGCTATTCAAAATATAGTCACTAATTCGCCAACCGAATTAAGAACAATTTCTGCTTCTGAAAATCAAAACAAGACAAATTTTGAAGAAAATCAAGTCGCAACTGAAGACGAAAATTTTCAGTTACAAGGCTTGGATGCAATGAGTCAGCATTAACTTTAAATGCTTATCAAATCAACCAACTGCCTTTTATTTTATTCAAATAGACTATCCACCGTGTAAATTATTAATTGACACAGGAAGTCATGCCTCTTTAATAAGACCCTCAATAGCAGAAGAATATTTTTCAAATTCTATAATTAGTTCAAGAAACAAGCTAACCACTTGCATGGGTACAAGAAAAACGTATGGAAAAATCAATATCCCAATTTTACAAGAATATAATATTCAAAACAACATTGAAATGATAATGTATAATTTCCATGACTATTTTGATGGAATTATTGGAATCAAAGCATTACAACAAAATAATTTAAATGTAGATTTTTCTAATATGCTTCTTTCTGATAATAAAACAACAATTCCGTTTCAATATAGAACAGATTTCGAAAATCAAAATTTTGAGATTCTCAGCAACTCAATTCAAGTATGTTATTTCAATACAAATATAGCTGATGGCATTGAAATAGTTACACCACCGATAAAAAATAAAACGTATTATATTCCTTCGGCAATTGCTACAGTTATAAACGAGACAGTAGCTCTAGAAGTACATAACTTAATGAATAAGCCTAATATTGTCCCATATAACATAAACAACTTAGCGGAAATAAGTTTACCTTACGCTGACGAACAGTTTGAGATATTTAATATAGAGCAAATGACTTTATTAGAAAGTGATGAATATGCAAATAAGTCGCTTCGTATTAATCATTTAAACTCAGAGGAATTTGATGCTTTAAAACACGTAATTAAATATTTTCCTAAAATTTTCCACAAGCCAAATGAAAAATTGACATTTACCAATTAAGTCAAACATGAGATTAAAACTACGGATGAAATACCAATGCACACAAAAACGTATAGATACCCACATGTGCATAAACAAGAAGTAAATGAGTACCTAAGAAAGAAGATGCCGCAGGCATACAAAAATGGAGAATGGTCGTTGATTATCGAAAGATAAACGAAAAAACTATTGATGATAGATATCCATTACCTAATATTACGGATATCACTTGGTCGTAGTAATTATTTTACGACACTAGATCTAGCCTCTGGCTTTCATCAAGTCGAGATGCATGAAAATTCGATATTCAACATAGCATTTAATGTTGAAAATGGTCATTACGAATTTAACAAAATATCCTTTGGGTTGAGGAACGCACCAACAACCTTCCAAAGAGTGATGGATAATATATTACTAGGATTACAGAATAGAATATGTATAGTATGCATGGATAATATAATATCTTGACTTTAAGAAACCTTTCTTATTAACAGACAACCGATACCTCGAACTATGTAATTGGAGCTATTTTATCTATACACATCTAGAACCTTTTAAACCCAGTTGAATGTATGATTATTCGACAATTGAAAAAGGACTTCTAGCAATCATATGGGCAACAAAATATTTGCGGCCTTATCTTTCTCAATTATTATTAAAATTTCTTTCTCATTTTGTGCTCCTCAATTTTTGTCTGTTCCCGGCTCTTGAATTTGGGTTTTCTTTTAAAATTTTTTTAAATGAGTTCAAAGAGGCATTCAAAGAGCCTGGAATATGAAAAATAATCAAATTCGTACTCTTCAACAACTCTCCTCAATTTCCTATATCCATTACATTATTATTAAAGTTTCTTTCTCATTTTGTTCTTCCCAATTTTTGTCTATTCCCAGCTCTTGAATTTGGATTTTGTTTTCAAATTACTTTAAATCAGCTGGACGCCTATTATTTGCTTTGACGTTCCACCTGTATTTGAGGACCCTTGGATAGAAAAATTGAAGAAGTTAGGAAGGTATTCAGCAAGGCCCGGTTCATTCATCTTTAGATAAACTTGCTGGTAACTATCTGAAAAATAAATTTACCATTCCATGATTCTATTATTCGGCAGGTAACTGACCGACCAATGATATAACAGATTGCATTTTTATCCGTCAGATTGCATACCTGACAGTTTATCAGAAGATGAATAAACCGGCCAGTGATTGTTACGATGCTCCCCTCAACACATCACTTCACTTACTCAACTTTGGCAATTTGATACTCTGGATATAAAGGAACCTACCGAAAAGCGTAATCACGCGTGACCAATTGAATTAGCCCAGGCAGCTACAGAATTATTTCTTGAATATTAATGAAGGTGGACGTTATGAAGTCACACTACCTTGGGTTGGAGGACACCCCCTTTTGCCTACGAATTATCACCTTGCCATGAAACGTCTATCCAGATTTCATTTTCCGCCAAAAATTCCCAGTTTTCCAATGAGGTAAGCAATGAAAACTCAAGTTTTATCAAGTAGGCTTAGGTATATCATTTTGGCTGGTTTTTCTTTCGATTTTTTTCCGCTTTTCCAAAACGTTTTCGAATGGGAAAACTGATTTAAAGTACAAGACTTTGAGTTTTCCTCATTTTCTAGCAAAAATTTCCAGTTTTAAATGCCATACTTAGCAAAATCCCATTAAAAATGCCTTTTCTGGAAGTGTTGATGTGGCAACACCACTTGTGGCCAACTTCAAGAGGTTTGAATCTGAGTTCTCCGAGTTTGAAATTACCGTTCGTTTATTTAAAAAGTGTGCTCGATGCATGCTCATTCGATTATTAAAATTTCTAGTGCTCTGATACAGCGTTTAACTTCTCTGTGCGCTCGCCGGTCACGTGATTAGGACTCTAATCTTTGAGCAAAATACCGAACTCAAGGTAAGTAGGCCTTGTAATGATGCAATTTTTGACAGTCGGCCATTTTTAATTGACGAGTTTACATTTTCATCCAGTTTTTCCTAGAATTTTCCGACTTTCCAGGGCTTTTTCAGTCAAGAACACCGATTTGAAATACGAGGCTTTGGATTTCCTACATTTTGTGTCAAACATTTCCAGTTTTCCAATGGCGTAAGTGAGAAAAACTTTAGTTTTATTAAGTAGGCTTTAGAATGTTGGGTTTTCTTTGGATTTTCCACTTTTCCAGGGCTTTTTTAATCGGAAAAAGGTGGTTTTAAGGACAGGGCTTTAAGTTTGATTCATTTTTTTACCAGAAACTCCCATTTTTAAATCTAAATTATGTCCCACTTTATCTCCCTCTTTGTCTTACTCACTATCAAACAGACATTGAAATGTCATTTTCATTATTTATTTTTTTTAAATAAGTTTCTATTGCATTATTTTAGGAACTTATCAATTAATAAACATTATTAATTGATTATTTAACTAAATTTAAAACAAAAAACCATTTAATATTGGTTGTTTTTTTTTTTCCTATTTAAGATGTGGCAATATCGCTTTTAATCAAGTAGGCCTTGTAATGAAATGTCATTTGATACTTTTCTTTTGGTACAGTCGGCCATTTTTTAATTGACGTGTTTACATTTTATCCAGTTTTAGCTTTATTTTTCCGTTATTCCAGGCCGTTTTCAGTCGGGAAAACTAGTTTAAAATACGAGGTTTTGAATATCCTTCATTTTCCGCTAAAAATTTCCAGACTTCCAATGAGGTAAACAATGAAAACTCAAGCTTTATCAAGCAAGCTTTGGAATGTTTGTTTTCTTTGGATTTTCCGCTTTTCCACACCGTTTTCGAGCGGGAAAACTGATTTAAAGTACGAGGCTTTGAATTTTCCTCATTTTCTAGCAAAAATTTCCAGTTTTAAATGCTATAATAATTAGCAAAATCCCATTAAAAATACTTTTTCTGGAAGTTTTGATGTGACAACACCACTTGTGACAACTTCACGAGGTAAAATTTCCAGTTTTCCAATGGAGTAAAGTGAGAAAAACTTTAGTTATATCAAGTAGGCTTTGGAATGTTGGTTTTTCTTTGGATTTTCAGCTTTTCCAGGGACTTTTTAATCGGAAAAAGGTGGTTTTAAGGGCAGGGCTTTGAATTTGCTTCATTTTTTTACCAAAAACTTCCATTTTTAGACGTAAATTATGTCCTACTTTATCTCCCTCTTCGTCCTACTCACTATCAAACAGGTCTTGGAATGTCATTGTCATTAAATTTTGTTAAAAGTAAGTTTCCATTGCATTATTTTGCCTATGTGAGATGTGACAATGTCGCTTTTAATAAAGTAATGAAATGTCATTTGTCGCTTTTTCTTTTGACAGTCGGCCATTTTTTAATAAACTTGTTCACATTTTATCCGTTTTTTCCTTGAATTTTCCACTTTTCCAAGTGGTTTTTAGTCGGGAAAACTGGTTTAAAATACAAGGCTTTGAATTTCGTTAATTTTTCGCCAAAAATTTCCAATTTTCCAATGAGGTAAGCAATGAAAATTCAAACTTTATCAAGTAGGCTTTGGAATGTTATTTTGATTGGTTTTTCTTTGAATTTTTCGCTTCTCCAGGCCGTTTTCGAGCGGGAAAACTAATTTAAAGTACAAGGCTTTGAGTTTTTCTTTATTTTCTAGTAAAAATTTCCAGTTTTAAATGTAATAATAAACAAAATCCCATTTAAAATACTTTTTCTGGAAGTTTTGATGTGGCAACATCACTTGTGGCCAACTTCACAAGGTTTGAATATTGGTTTTTCTTTCTTTCTTTCTTTTTGAATTTTGGCTTCTGTCCCCAGTGAAAAACAACTTTTTAGGGAATTATATATATATATATATATATATATATATATATTTTTTTTTCAGGTGGCAACACTACTTTATAGCCAACTTTATTCGAGTTCCAATCCAACAGGTCTTGGAATGTTATTTTTGAAGTGACATTTGAGGAAAAAGTATGGTCACCCCACCCTATTATAAGCTGGTACATTTTTACTGTATCTGGTACAATTTGTCTTTAATTTTGATACAAAAAATTTTTGCTCTTTGGCAACATTGCTTTTAACAGTCTGTCATTTTTTGATTGACATATCTACATTTTATCCAGTTTTTCCTAGATTTTTCCGCTTTTCCAGTCGGAAAAACTAGTTTAAAATATGAGGCTTTGAATATCCTTTATTTTTTGCCAAAAATTTCCAGTTTTCCAATGGGGTAAGTAACGAAAACTCAAGTTTCATCAAGTAGGCTTTGGAATGTTATTTTGGCTGGTTTTTCTTTGGATTTTCCGTTTTTTCAGAAAGTTTTCGAGCGGGAAAACTGATTTAGATTACGAGGCTTTGAGTTATCCTCATTTTCTAGCAAATATTTCCAGTTTTTAAATGACATAATTAGCCGATTCCTTTTAAAAATGCTTTTCTGGCAATTTTGATGTGGCAACATCACTTGTGGCCAACTTCACGAGGTTTTAATCTACTGTGCAAGGTTAAGTGCACGTGACGTCACTAAATTGACATTGGAAGTAAGTTACATATATTTTTGTTTGATGTGCTGATTAAAGGGAGTGATGTGTGCTAAAAAAACAACTTAATCTAGGAAAAAAGAGATTTTTTTTTTAAAAATAACAGTGGAAACCGCACCCTTCTATGACAAATAATACCGAAGATATGGCTCTATGAAGGTACTGCATCTCACCGTATGACGTCACGAGAGTTCAAGCGATGCACGAAATAGTGAAGTGCATCGAATTCACATGTTTTTCCTGTGTTACCTGCAATAATTTGAACAAAAACGACTGACCCGTGCCGGGGACAAACAAATGAACAATGCGGAGCGTGGCTGGACGAAGCTCCCGTGACGTCACACATACTTTAGGACGGTATATCTTAGCGATGGTTTATCGTAAAATAACGAGGTTTGAACAGTTATTCTTAGACTTTTTTACACTAAAACTTTAATTTTTGGCGCACCCCCTTTAAGCAGGGACGTAAATAGGATTATATGTGTTTATTGGGTACTATGAAAAAAGTGTCTTGAACATCTTAATTGAATAATTATTTCCATGAAAAATATAAATTGACTTTGTATGCCTGATTTCTGCTAAGCGAAACTTGATTTTGATTGATAAAAAGTTTCAACTTAATCGCAGTTCGATAAAGGAAAAGTTTATTTTACCATAAATTTAAGTGTCTGATACATAAGAAAAAAGCACCATTTCATCTAAAAAGAACATCCTAATTATTTGGCTAAAAATTCCTTGAAAATCCCTTATAACAAAAACGATTCAGTCATTACTTTATAATCATCACAATATCGATATAGATTTTTTAATTTCCCCATCTTCAATAGTAGGTTTTGCAGTCGATTGTTGGCACCAGTACCTGCGCATCTTACCAACAACAAAATCGAAATCGTGCATCGCCAATCCAGTAAAGCAAAACTTCCGATTCATCAATTGAAAATTCCTGACCTTTTTTAGTCAGTCGTCCGATTCCATGCCCATCAGTTCCGCTTGCAAGCGACCTTTGTACTTGCAACAAATCGTCATGCAAAATATCCGCAAAGCGAAACGGAATTGGGGACTTAGTATAATAAGAATCAAAGCCTTCCAAAATGAATTCAAAAAACCCAACCAAACAACTCCAAAGTGCAAGAATTGTATTTGGAATTTGGTTCCAGTAAAATACTCGTAAAGTTTGACGCCAATGTACGGAGTCCAAGAGCACCAAAAAGCTATAATTAAAGCGAATGACATCATGTGACTGGGATTGGACAAATTTTCAGACAAAGCTGTAGCATACTCTTTGTCATGGAATGCATACCCGCTCCTAACTTTCCTCAGCATCATAAAAATATATGAATAAGTATAAACTATAGTAATTAAGCTGGGGCCTAAAATCAAAATGGACAAAGTGGCTGTGTAGGCGGCCATACTGCCCCAATCCAGCATGCAAACGTAAGCGTCTCGGTCGAATAAAGGTTTGTTGAAGCCCAGTAAAGGTGGACAGCATAGCATTGCGCTTGAGATCCAGGTGAAGGCCATCCAGCATTGGCATCTTGTTTTGGTTTGTAGAGTTTCGTAGCGGAGCGGTTTGCGGATGGCTAGGTAACGGTCGACGCTGATCCACATGAAAGTGTACACAGTCACTGCCCAAAGGGTGACCTAGAGAAAAAAAAAATCACATTTTAATCCTGATTGTGAAATATAACAAACAAGTTTGTACTATATAGTTTCTGGAACTAGGAAGATTGTGTTCTGTTAGACATTGAAAATAATCAAGTTTTCATGTAAAAGAGGCTTAGCTGCAAACACGTCTTTCAGCAGATCACTTTCAGTTCTCGTCAAAATATCAGATCGTAGCCTGAGAAGTTCACTTCAAAAAATCGCGTTTTCATAAGTTTACTTACTAAACATGTACCCGCGCGACATAGCAAATATTTGGGAAATTTGAGGGAAGCTATGATATGTAAAAGAAACGAAAACTTTGTGAAACGTCTTATTTATTATTACAAAAATAACGTACCGTTCACGACATGGAATTTTCGAGGAGAAAGAGAATGGCAGAGAAACCCTCGATTGAAAATTCCTCAAAAATCGAAACATACTGTGTCATTTTAATAATAATTGTGAGTTATTAATTGAAAAATTTAAGTCAATGATAGTTTAAATCAGGTACCGTCTTTGTCCTTGTGCTAAAATTTTAATTCCACACACCACATTCAATCAACACTACCTATATTCAATACTGAAGAGCTTTTGGTTAGTTAGCCAGTTTCCCAGCAGGTACTGAGGTCCCATACGAGATGCTACCCAACTATAGTTGTTATTTTGAGCCAATATCTCTTTTCTTTGTCTGGTAGGATATTCGCTCGTCAGAATAGGAAAAATGTTGATAAATTCAACAAGGCCCTAATGCACGCTTTGAATCCACAAAATCAAAATCCCAACACAAAAGACAGTACGTAATTTTTCTTTGGTTTTAATTTACTCTTTATTGGTGTTGTTTATAGCATGGTCAACATGAAACGATTTCTGTTAAATAGTAAATACATTAACAATGCACATTTTATAAGAAATGTTATACGATATATAAAAGTAGATATTGGCAAGTAAGCTTGTCAGAAAGGTCTTAACCTTTAACAGTATTTTCAACAACAGATATGGAGGGCATTATCAAGTTACAGTAGTGCCTTTTGGACTTAAAATGCCCCTAGCAGTTTCCAAAAGCTTATGTTGCAGGAGGTGCTAGAAAAGTATTTACCAACTTCAATATTTTATAAAAAAATGTTAATTTGCTACAAATCCACTGGACTTTCTAGGACATACAATAAATGGTAGTCTAAATATGCCTCAAACATATCATTTACAAGAAATTAATAAATATCCTGTTCCTCGAAATAAAAAAAAACTTCAATAATTTTCAGGTACAGTAAATTGGCCTAAAGGATATATTCCTAAATTAGCAGAGATTACTGCTCCCCTAACTGATCTTCTTTGTAAAAACAGTAAATGGAAATGGGATGACCGTCAAAGATGTGCATTTGAGAAAATAAAAACTCTTTTCTTAAATCCACTTCAATTACATAGACCAAATTTTTCACTACTGTTTGTTTCACACACAAATCTACTAGCTGTTAGGAATGGGAGCAGCTTTTCACCTTGCAGTACTCTATCAAAATGGAATAAATAGAGAGAAATAAATTATATCATACTCAAATGCTCGTCTAAATAAAGCAGAACGTGAGTATCAAGTATCATAAAATGAGAAAAAGTGTTTAGCCGTAGTGTGGGTGGATTAAAAAATATAGATCATATTTTGAAGATAAAAAATTCATACACTTATAACTGATAATAGGTCATTACTATGGTTAAATCTTAATGCTGACGCTAAAGCGAGATTAACGCGATGGGCCCTTCTTCTAGCGTAGTTCGATTCAACATTTGCAGGTCATCCTGGTCGAGACTAAACTTATAATAGAATTTCTACATACCTACTACTATTGGTGGCCAGAATTAAGAAGGGATGTATCAAAATATGTAAAAAATTGTTTAATAGGTATGTCGTAATCGTATTGTAAAAAATAAAAATATTCAAAAAACAGCACTAATGTCTGCTTATATTCCAAATAATGCCATATACACACTGAGAAATCCTCCAGCCAAAAATTCTTGGCTAATGTATTTTTGACTATCATAGCAGAAAAATTAGCTGTAATTGCAAAACGATCCTCTTTTAGTAGTAAAACGCACTTTACTAAGGTAGCAAAATGTCACTTTGTTGTAATAGTAAAATTCTTTTTGTTGCCACTAGTATTTTTTTCATGTTACAGCAGATTCACTTATCATTAAAAAGTATACCTATCTACTACCACAGCAATATAGCGGACCTATCAGGCAAACAAACGCAGGAGAAATTCTTGCTGTGGAGAAAAACCACTTTCTTGGGATAGCAGAGTTACTTTATAGCCATAGCAGAATTACTCTATAGCCGCAGCAGCAAGTATCTCTACAGTCACAACAAAGTGACTTTATAGCGACTCTTTGTAAAGAAATTTTGCTACCACAGCAAAGTCAGTTAAGTAAAGTGAACTCTACTGCTATAGAAAAAAACTTGACTGGCGCCTATTTTAAAACAAAATTTAGCTGTGGTTATAAAAAAATTGGCTGGAGATTTTCTCAGTGCAGGATGGGACACGAAAAACTTCGCACCCAGAGTTTCTCAGGAGTTAGGTGTTTAATCAAAAATCGCTCAGAGACGTCAATTTTTGTGGGACACATTTTATTGGTATTTTCACCCCCTACCTGTCAATCCTTAAGTGGGGGTAACAGGTACCCCCAAAATTTCAAATGGAAAGAGAGGTCGAGTGATATGTTATTTCATAGCTATTTTCATTAAGATTATATCCCCGAAGTTTTAAGTTGCTACTATTTACCCTGTCGCAATGGCGGCATGTCAAAGTTAGGATAAATGCTTTTTTTCGATAATCTAAACTGTATAGTTTTTACCTGTCACACCTATGAGTAGGTAACAGGTAAAAACCACACAGCATTTTTCCTTTGATTTCTCCTAACTTTGACAAGCCGCCATTTCGACAGGGTAGATATTAGTAACAACTTAAAACTTCGGGGATATAATTCTTAATGAAAATAGCTATCAAATGATCACTCGACCTCCCTTTTCATTTGAAATTTTGGGGGTACCTGTCACCCCCACTTAAAGGTTGACAGGTAGGGGGTGAAAATACCAATAAAATGGGTAAGTACATTCAGGCGGTCCCAGCGGCTAAACTCAACCACTCAGCAGGGACATTATTCTCGAAACCAAGGAACAGCGTTTTCATAAGAACGATTGCTCTGTCATTGTCACTGTTATGTCGGACGACAAAGTCAGAACCTTTGCTCCAATGAGAACACTACTCCCTTGTTTTGAGAATAAAGTTCCTGCTGAATGGCTGAACTAAGCTGCTGGCAGAGCTGGGCAGTAGCTAGCTACCAAGTAGTTAAGCTACTAGCTTAGCTACTTTTTTGGTAGCTAATAACTTATTCAAGCTACTTTGAAAAAAAAGTAGCTTGTAGCTGTAGCTTTTGGTAATGTGTTTCAAGTATTCATAAGCTACTGTGAAAAGTAGCTAGCTACTAAAACAAGCTACTTAAGCTACTTTTGGTAGATAGTTAATAGTTATTTAGGTATTAATAGCGGAAATTGTCATTTACCGCCCGAGGTCGAAGGTGTGGTTAACGATACTCACTCAACGGCCAAAATACTTATTAGGTACGTTTTATGCGCAGCGGACTCTTCTAGTTCAAAAATAAAATAACTATACCTGTAATATAATGGCATCCATCCGACATTGTTTTCAAAAATAAACAGTTTTCCCCTTATAAAGGCACGTTTCCACCAACCTATCGCCCGCGTTTGAATTTACTGCTTAATAAAAGTAACTTTATACTTTAATTGCTCAAGCTACAATTATCATTTTCCGGAAAATTCTTATCCTGCCTTGCTAAGACTAGTTTCTAGTTATCTCTGTAGGTACCTATGTTTTATTTGTCCTATTTTATTCTCGCATTCGCAGATCACTGTGATCAAAGTGAACCTAATAAATTAATGTCCAGTGCTTTTGACAAAAATATGAATACCTACTACTTCTTAGAGAAAGTTAATATGTTATTTTCGTATGATGATATCATGGAATTAAATTAGATAAGGCATGTACATTGATAAAAGTAGCTTAAATAGTAGCTTTCACTAATTCAAAATGTAGTTAGGTTACTTATAGCTTAGCTACTTTTTCAAAGAGGTAGTTGAACTACTGAGTAACTTAGCTACTTACAATATAAAGTAGCTTGTAGCTTGTAGCTAGCTACTTTTTCCAAGTAGCTTGCCCAGCTCTGGCTGCTGGCACCGCCTGAATGTACCCATGGTGTCCCACAAAAATTGACGTGTCTGAGCGATTTTTGATCAAACACCTAACTCTCGAGAAAACCTGGGTAGGAAGTTTTTCGTGTCCCACCCTGTATATTAATAAGACTAGGAGCTTGCTGCTAGTCTTATCAACATTCTTGTCATTCTAGTCGAGTCTAGTCCATAGATCTAGCCAATCTTGCCTTATCCTGTAGCTCCATTCTTTCATTATTAAAGTTTATTTAAATTATATAATTATGGTTACTTAAATTAATAAATTATGAACAACCATAATTAACATCAACCACTAAACGAATTATTCAAAAAAGGAATTAAGGAATCAAATTTTTATAGATAATAGAATGTCAAGAATCATTTGCAAAATTTAAAAAAAAATTGAAGTCGGATCGAAGTCTAATCAATTACTTACAACTCAGTTCACGAAATTATTGCGATGCAAGTATCACTGGAATAGGAGCTTGTACAGGGTGTCCCAGCCAAGAGTGGCCCATTCTAAATGCTTATAACTTATAAACCAGGTGTGCTAGCTAACTGCGGTTTGCACCATTCGATTTCTCTTGACCTGAAGTTTTTTCTAGTTAGACTACAAATTTTTTTGAAACTTATACAGAACGAATAAAAATAAATGAATTTTTCAACATTGAAATTCTCCATTATTTTTAATAAAACTCCCTATATATCACAACGTCAAAAAAAAAAATACATATTCAAGGTATTCACATCAATAGACATCGTC